CAATTAATGAGCCCAGTAATGTTTTTTCCTTTACAGCTGCGTTGCTTTGTTTGTTTGGTATCCAACAGAAGTTTCAAAGGGAAAGAATGAACAGCATCAGGATGATAAAACATCTGAAGAGATAATAGCTGCAAATTTTTTACACTGAGAGAGTCTGGAGATTCTGGAAGCCCAATGTACCCAAAATAAACCCATGCTTGGACACATCACAGTGTGTCCACAGAACACCAGAGGCAGAAAGAAGTTCTTAAAAATACCAGAGAGAGAAACAAGGATCCTCAGAAAAGAAAGAAAGAAAACTGAGAACCGGCCAATCAGCAGCAATGAAACTGGAAGACAGTTAAAACACCTTACAAGTGCTTAGGAAAAATAGCAGCCAGCCCAGACTTGTGTACCCAGCAAGAGCATGATCCAAGAATAAGGATGAGAACCAAGGTGACGTGAACAGGAACCCACTGGAAAAAACTTAAAAAAAAAAAAAAAAAAGAAACAATGGTTTTTAAGGACACCAGACGTCAGCCAATGGATACTGATCACTGAGAGACAGGAAACACACATGAGCCCTCCAAGTGGCCCCGCTTACTGCGAGAGGGAGTTTCCTGTGTGTCAGAGGGAGAGGGAACCCAGGCAGAATCCAGTGGTCTCCCTGAGTTGAGACACCAGAGCTGGGAATCCAGGAAGGTCAAGGGGCTGAAGTTCTCAGGGAAGGGACGAGAATAGAGAGAGCTGCACAGACACAGGGCTCTCTGAGTCCTCAGCCAAGGCATGCATGCAGAAAACTGCCAGGAAGGATGAGAGCAGTGGTTCCTAACTGAGGGCCACTGGCTGTCTAGAGCCACGCTTGGTCTGTCACAGTTCAAGGGATGCTACTGACATCCAGCACACAGAGGCCAGAGATGCTCCTAAACACCTGATAGCTACAGATCAGTCCCTGCCCCGCTGCCCCCACCCTCACACAAGTATCCAGTCTTCACATGTAAACAGTTCCAAGGCTGAGAAACCCTGCATTACAGGGAACAAGCCCCAATGCTTACAAAGGACAGGAACAGCTCCTGTTCCTACAAATTAAAAGGAAATACCTGGAAATTCACAGGGCATTAAGGAGAGTCAACAGAGGGGTACTGTCTTAATAGTGGGAAATAATTAGTCCAAGATTAAATGCTGTTAAGATCTCACCTGACAAGGCTTAAAACCAAGCCTCTGAAGGATCAAAGTGTTTCCAAGTAATTTAATTGTGTAACATGAACTCAAGAATATTATCCAGAAAAATGCAAAAGTATCCAACATGAGAATAAAACTGACAATGAATGGCAGTCAATCAAAAATTACCAGGCGTGGAAAGAAGGTAGAAACTACTGCTCATAATGAAGAAAAAGGTAAAGCCATGAAAGTAAACTCTGAAAAATTACCCAGATGACAGAATTACATAGAACCAAATCCTGAAATTAGATAATCACAGACAAAGTAATGAAGTTATTACTAGTAACTGTAGTCCAAATGTTCAAAAAACTAAAAGGATTTTCAATATACAAAAAAGATTCAAATCAAGTTTCCAGAGATAAAAGTTACAACAGATAAAATGAAAAAAGTACACTGACTGAGATTAACATGTAGACAAAGCAATGAACTATCTAAAATAAAACACAGAGAAAATACAGTGAAAATTATGAACAGAACATTACTAAGCTGTGGGACAACTTCAGTGGTCTAATAGATACAGCTAATTGGCCTCTCCAAAGACAGGAGATGTGCTCAAAAAATTCTGAATATAGCAGGAAATATTCCAAATTTCATGAAAAAAAAAAAAAAGCCCTGTATGTTCACATATCTCAATGTATCCAGGCACAAGAAACAAACAAATAACACCAAGTTGCTTAAAACCACTGAGAAAGAGAGAATCTTAAAATCAGCCGAAGGAAAAAAACACATTATATACAAGACAAAACAAAACAAAGAGATGGAAATGACAACACACTTCCCATCAGAAACAATGTGAGCCCCAAGACAATGGAGCCACAATCTTTAAAATACCTAAAGAAAACTACAGGCAACGTAAAATTCTATACCCAGCAAAAATATCTTTTAGGGAAAAAAGGGCTACTTCAGCCTTTTTAAAGACACATAAAAGCTGAAGGAGTTCATCACCAGCAGACTTGCATTACCAAAAATGTTACAAGAAGTCT